GAAACGAAACGAAACGAAACGAAACGAAACGAAACGAAACGAAACGAAACGAAACGAAACGAAACTAAACTAAACTAAACTAAATTAAACTAAACTAAACGATCAGAGTCGAAAACCGTGTCGCTCCTCGTCTACTTTGACGCGTGCAAGCGTAAAACGTACTTACGTCGGTGAACGTGGTGTGGGGCATGTGTGCGTTGCGCGAGCTCGTATCTGTGACCGCGACCGTGATCGCTACCGTGATGGCTACCGTGATTCGCTATCGATCCTTAAAGATATCCGTTAAATTGTTCAATTAGGAAACTATGTATGTACAAAAGAAAACAGCCACCTATCGCGTGAAACGATTCGCTAAAGTTTCACGTACGCATGGCCACACGGATACACGACGGGGATCATATTTTTCGCTAAAAATAATCGACGCGTCTTATCTTCGATATATACAAGATTGTTCGCATATTCTCAAAGAATAACGCGCGTGAACACGTAACGTGTAACGTGTAACGTGCGCGCGTGCGAACATTCGCAGGCACTCTTGTTGTTAACGCAACGCCAATGGATTCTACATACGTATCTAATAGAGACTAGCGTAATGTCGGTAGAGATTCGAATTTCGCGGAGCAAGCGTGGCGCCGATCGCGCGTGCGAGCGATATGGCCGATGCCGCGCGTCAGCGTGGTTTCGATCGTTGCATTCGTCCCGTTCCTCGCGTTTCTCTGAAACACAACGCGTCGCATCTGGTCATTTCATGGGATTGTTTTTCATGGTCCGCTGATCGTACCTACTCGGTTGGACGATGCGCCGCCATCCCTCGCCGTGCCTCGCCTTGTCCTGCCCGGCCTCGCTCCGCTCTAGATCGTTTCGCACCGCTTGCCACTTATCCTCGCGTCACGTTGTTTCCTCTTTTTCGCTCGAACGAACGAATTAAACGAACGGGGCGATAAAATTCCTTTCATAGATTTATACTCGGCTCGGTGGCGCGAATAGGAACGCGTCGGTTACCGACACACCAGTCGCGGTATTCCTTCGGGAATAGGACCTGGTCGTGCACACTTAGTTCGGAGAATCACAATGAGAGACGAACGATTTTCGAGAAAGGAACAAGATCGAAAAAACAGTGGTTCTCGCTAGCGCGATCGCGAATCTCGCGTATTCGCATCGTATCGGGATTGGCGACAGTCGCTTTCGCTTCCGGTTCCGATTCCGGTTCCGATTCCGGTTCCGATTCCGGTTCCGATTCCGGTTCCGCGTTCGCATCAATAAGGTACGTGAATGTTTCTCGGCGTGGAGCGACGTCTGCATATCTTGCAAACGGTTACCAAGCAAACGAGACTGAGGAGCACGGCGAGGATGCCGCCCAGACCGGCACCCGCCCAGCCAGCGGAGCCTACCACGCTGGCGAACCCGCCGACGCCGTTTCCGGATCCAGCCGCGTTGCCGCGCGTGCCTATCACGTTGGCCCCGCAAGTCTCGATCGATTCGTCGTTCGGCTCCTCCGGTACCGCCAGGAAGCCGGTGCCGTTGTTCGTTTTCCGAAACGCGGACCTGGGTTCCGGCGCCGGGCAATTGATTACACCGTTGCAAAGCAGTCTCGTGGGAATGCAACCGGTGTCGCCGGGACACTGGAATCCGCAGAGTTCCTCGAGTTTCTGCGTGTTCAGGACTCCCGAGGGGTCGCGAGACAGATGGTAGAGCTCCGTCCAAGTGATTTTGAACGCTGCCCTCGCCGGCGCCATCGAACCGGTGAACTGAACGATCACGGCAGGCCCCTCGGAGTCGTCGTTCGGCTGTTCGTTCGGCACCGAAGATGTTTGCGACGGCGACGCACCGCTCGGCTGTTGCGTTTGGGCCTGGGTCTGCGTCTGCATCTGCAGAGTGTCGAAGTTGTAACCGGAAGAACCGCTGCCGCCGCCGCCGCCGCCGCCGGCACCACCACCGAGACCGTTCGCATAGTTGAACCCGCGCTCGCCGGCCGTGCGAAGTTTCACGGGCGAGATCTGCGCTGCCGAGATGATGGGCATTTTCTGAGCATAGCTGACGTTCTCGCCGCATATGCTGAGGAACGGGTCCGGGTTGCCGGGCAAGAAGATTTCCAGTTTCTCGTCTTCGCAGGATCTGGAAGCAAATTTAATTTTATCGAACTGCAGCCACACGTCTCTGTCCCAATTGACGCGAAGCTCCCAAATGCATTTTATGAAGCGGGGCGGAGCGACGTAACCGAGCGCTTCGTAGTGCGGAAATTCGATTTCTCCGTCGGTGGTGGCCGGAAGAATCGCGGGACCGCACAGCGGGCTGTGGGCGAACTCGTACTTCGCCTCGAACAACGGCGCGTACTGCTTGAAGTAACTGGCCGCGGAATGAGCACCGTCCACCGCCAACTTCAATTCGAGCTTCTCTCCGCGCGAGACCACGCGAACCACAGGCTTCGCCTCGCCGGTCGATCCGGGACCGGCCGTCGGCGATCGACAGATGCAGCGACCTTTCTCGAGATCCGCGTCCTGCCGATGATGAGCAGTCTGCTGATGCTGCTGATGCTGCTGATGCTGCTGATGCTGCTGATGCTGATGTTGATTCTGGCTCGACTGCTGACTCTGGTTCTGGCTTTGATGCTGATACTGGTGTTGCTGGTGCTGATGCTGATGCTGACCGTACGACTGCCGCGACTGCGAATGCTGTTGCTGACCTTGGTAAAACTGCTGCTCGGCGAAAGTCGCGATGGCCGGCTCTTTGATGATCAGACGGTCGACCCGACTGTCCCAGCAGTTGCCGCATTGCGCGTACGGATGCTCCTTGAACGACACCGACTCCACCGTCAGAATGACGCGCGCGTACAGTCGCTTGTCCGTGACGAAGGTGTAGGTGCAAGACAAATCGATCGGCGGATCGCCCGGTCGCTTGTAGACGAGAGTGTTGAGCGGCGATCGCAGTCGGCCGGAACGCGCTTTCCACGAGGCGAAGATCTCGTCGCATTCCGTGCCGGCGACGGGCTCGCCGAATCGCGAGGCGTTGAAGAAGTCGTAGTGCGCCCAATAGTAGAGAGAGCTGCCGGAGTAGCTTCCCGTTTTGCTCTCGAACTTGACGAACAGAGCGTTCGAGCTCGAAACGAAGTCGTGCTTCTCCATAGGCTTGCTGAACGTGTCGCAGAACGTTTTGATGATCCTCGCGTCGTCCGGCCAGTCGGCGTCGTAGAGGGTCAGACTCTCGCCGCAATCGCCGTCGTACGGCTGTATCGGCGACTCGATGCGGTTCACGCGGAAACTGGGAAAGTAGAGCCTAGCGATCTCGCCGACGCGGCCCTTCAGCAGGTAGGTGCAGCTGGTGTGCGGCGGATACCAGTGGGCCACCGAGAGGAATATCCCGTCGTTTCCGGTGTGCAGGGACTCGCTGTTCAACAGCCAGTCGCAGCTGCCGTTGCGGACGCCGGCGGTCTCCACGTGGCCCGGCCAATTGCCCACGTTGAAGTGGAACCCGGTGTTCAGCAGCGGACCGGCCGGCGACGAGACAAACTCGACGTAGAGGTCTTCGCTGGTGCCGATGATGCTGTACGGGAACTTGCCCATTCCGCAGAAGGTGCCGATCACCGGACTCGACTCGTCTTTGCCGTCGTACACGCGTATGTAGTCGTACGGGCAGTGCTCCGAGCCGGAGCTTATCGGTCTCATCGGGCAGGTCATGATGTTCTCGCATCTCTGACCGTCGATGTTGAACTCTTCGTTCTCGATGTAGAGCTTTATGAACGGCAGCCGCGTGTTCAGCCGGTACTTGCAGTGCAACGCGCGCGGGTAAATGCCCGGGTACGCCGGGCTCTGGACGTAGCAGGTCTGCAGCCGGCAATCCTTGAAGATTCGCTCGCAGTAGCTCCCGGGAACGATCTCGCCTCTCCGGTGCGGGTACAGTTCCGGATGCTGGCCGTACCTCAGGTACACCTCGAACTGTTGCTCCGCTCGGGAGTCGAAGCTGAAGTACGTCTGATCGGTGAAGTTGTCCGCGTGGAAGATCAGTCGCACGAAGCTCGTCTCGGAGATGAACGTCTGCGGCTGTTCCGATTCTCCGCAATAGACGCCGGGATCCTTCCGATTGCTCACCTCCGTCTTTGCGTTTCCATCGACGATCTGCGCAACGAACGATCCGTGAGGAACGATCCGAAAAGAAAAGCTGTTCGTTCTCGTTCTACCTGCAAATAACCTCCGGAACAGGTGGTGGCGTTCTCCAGCACACCGACTTTAAACTTTTTGAAGCGAACGCGTAGTATCCAGTCCCGTGGCGTTCCGCGGAATGCGCGGAAACGGTACCAGCAGAACAAAGGCTTCCCCCAATTCTCCGAAGTCACGGCTGGACTCGACACGTCTTCGTACACGTCCACCGTTTTGTTGCAATGATCGCCATCCGCTGAAAAGGAGAGTTATCCTCTTAGCTGTTATCCTCGTTCCCCGTGTCTCGCCTCTGTTTCCCTACCTTTGTGAATGGCGGCAGGACTGGGGGTGGCCAATACGAAAACAAGGAGAAGCAAGATTCCCCAGCCGCAAGGGTTCGGTATCGTTGGCGCACGCATTCCAAAGGATGCGCCACTTCCAATTCCAATCCCGAAACTGTCAATCCGCCGTAGCTCCTGCGTTTCTTCTGCTCAGCATCGTTCAACGCTGTTGCTCGCCGAGCATCTGAAAGCATGTGAAACCGATACACGTTGCACCTCTTTTCTTCCCCCGACGTGGTCGTTTCCGTCCGAACGGCCGAATATCGTATAATTCGAGTATAGACCGTGTCAAAGAGAATTCTTGGACAGGAATCGATTAACTCGTTATGTGGATTAACGAAGCCGGAAGTTGCTCGTTCGCTCGAAAACGGGGCTATAATTGATTAAATCCGTGTTAACCATCCTCTCGTCGATCGAGGTTCGGAACCGAACAGATTGCACGTGTTTTCCCTCCCTCGTTTACAGCCCCGTCTACCGTATCGTTTTCACTCGGCAGAGCACTCGAAGCACATCCTTCGCGTGCTTTCGAGAGACATTCGGCATCGCGCGGTACACACGGACGAACGGTGCTTCTTTCGATTCTTCTTTCGATTCGAAAGGAAAGGAGGACGAGGGGCGATAACGTTCGAGGAACACTATTGTTCGTTCTTCGAAATAATCGATCGAAAAGCAGAAATACTTTCGCTCGGCCGTTCTTCGAACGGGAAAACGTCCGTGTCTATGCGAACGAGAATTCCATCGAAAATGGATTTTTCAATGTTCTCAGGTTATCGCGTCCGTCGCGAGAAACTATACACCAAACACTGCGCGAGCGCAGACAAAAGCTGCTTCACCCAGACACGGAGACGGGTATACGGAATTCTCGAAAGATCGGAAACGATGAATTCTTTCTCTCGGAGAAACGAAATACTTGGACCGATTATCGTCCTTTGCTTACCTTGCTACTTTCCGCAAACTTTCCTTCCCTCCCGTCTCTCATCGGTTACATCGAACTAGTAACCAGCAACCAGTTGGCGGTTAGCAGTCGTCGGTTATCAACTAACAATTAACGATTAACGATCAATTATTAACGATTATCGATTGGCAATCGACGATTAAGATAGTTTTATTCTTAGGAAAGATTTCGCGTGCGCGACACAGATAAACTCGACTTTTATTCGACGAGACGCACTGGCTTTGCGGTTCTTTTGCGGTTCTTTTGCGCGAATTTCACGAATCCCGAGAGTCCCTGGTGTCGACCGCGTTACAAAACGGAATTAAAGTCCGTACGCGCCAATAGCGAAAGTCGAGTATAGCTAGAAATACGATACGGTCCTGTACAGAGAGCATAGAGCAGACGCAAGCTTTCGCGAGAGAAGAGTTAACGCGTAGCAAATTTAGCAAATTTAGCAAATTTACCAACGAGAAGCGACGAAATGGCACACCACCGCGATAAAAGACGAACAAGCGGAGCAAACGAGCAAAGAAAGAAGAAATATTAAGGAAAGAAGCTAATTAAATTGCTACTATACCGGTTAGAGTACTGATCTTCCATAAACAACAGAAGCACAGAAGCGTAGAGCACGGTTGGATAAAAGATTGCCGATGGCTGGGTGGATGACCGACTGGCTGGCTGACTAGCTAGCTGGCTGGCTGGCTGGATGGCTTAACGTCCGACGAGAGATTCGGGTCGAACGTCGCGCAAGCTCGCTACACCCCTTTCTTCTTCGTTTTCTCTCTGGCTGTCTCTCTCTCGTCTGCTTTTTCTTCTCCTTTCCTCCCACCCTTCTTCATCCGTTTCACCTCGCCTGCTTCCCTGTTTCCCTGTTTACTCTTTTTATTCCCTTCGTTGATCTTGCTTTCCGACACGCGCACCTAGAACCTACACGTCTCGTTTTCCAGTTTTCGCGAGCGTGCAACGCTTTTCAGAGTCGACGCGCTTCGAACATTGCTGGGGCATTTCGAATTGTTCGAAAGCATCTTCCTCCTATCCGTACTCGTCGTTCGTACTGCAAAACGTGAGAAGCGATTAAACGATCGATAAGAACCTCCGATAATGCGACTCTTTTCCAATCGATCAAATATTCTTTACCTTTCCTTTTATACATCTTTCCACCTTCTCCTCGTTCGTTCGTCCCTTCTTTAGTTTTCGATCAACGACAACATCGTTCACGGCCTCTTATTCGATCGAGCACGATGACACTTACCATTCACCGTTTATTCGAACCTTTCTACCGTCTACCTTCCTATGAATTGGTTGATCGAACAGTGGGATCTTTCGGGAATGACGCGAAAGTTACAAGTTTCGCTGATCAGGGTGCAAAATCGATCCGACGAACCTTCTCGTTCGAGAAGAGGCTCTTTCTTTCCTCCTCTCGAATTTTTTGTCTCGAGCTCGTAAACTGCTTTGCAACCTAACGCGGCGAGCAATCGTATCTACGAGCTGATGCTTGAAATTGGAAACAGGCACGGGATAAAAGGGAGAGAGAGAGAGAGAGAGAGAGGAAGAACGAAGAAAGAAAGAAAGAGAGGAAGGCAATCGATACGGAGAGAGAACCGGATTTCCAAAGGTTGGTCTATTTTCAAAAGTTAACAAACGATTGGTACACGGTGACGTAGCTTAGCTTACTTTCGCCGTATTTTCCTCGAAACGATTCGAACGATTAAAGGTTACCGTGGAAAGAAAAAGACGAGTGAAAGTTTCAATTGGGAGTCTTCACGAACCAGAGCGTTTGCAATTCGTGTAATATCAGCTGCGCGAAAAATTGAGAAAATATCCACGAATATTCGTTTCAGAGTTTATTTACAAGTGGCAACAAAAATACTATCACCTCTTCCTGTATGATTATAGTACGTTAATAACTTTATCGGATAAACAGGCACGTCGGAAAGAAATTTCGAACGACGTATTCAGCAAAAAAGTATTGCTTGTTTTCTTTTACATAGAAATTTTCACAATCGTACGTAGAACTACAATCTACAGTTCGTGTCTATGGCTCGCGAGCATTTCGGGAAATAGCAACAAATCAATTCGGTCGTTTTCACGGAAACAATTGAATCGAAAGAATAAAAAGGCCTCCTCCTGCCATCCCATCCCATCCCATCCCATCCCATCCCATATCATACCATACAATACCATACCATCCCTCGCCAGCCTCCTCCTGCCTATCTCCTACTCCTCTCTTCCTCTTTCGACTACTTTTTTCTTAGAGTAATGGTTGTACGCTCGACAAAAAGATTTAACGAAAAATTCAATGACAACTGTGTACCCGGCCGAACCGATTCATTAAATAAAAACGATCTATTTCGGTCCTACGAAGCTTGTGTGTACGGCACAAATTTTGCAGCTTGCGATCAATTGCTCAGGGATATTCGTTTAGCAATGATTCTATTTTTCCTTCTCGCATTCTTTCCTTTTTCCTTCTTTCTTTCTTTCTTTCTTTCTTTCTTTCTTTCTTTCTTTCTTTCTCTTTTCCTTCCCTTCGTCTGTTCGCAGCGATGAGGGCAACGACGCGAGCTGTTTTCATGCACTGTTCCATCATTTTGAGATTCGGCAAATTTCTAAATACATTACGATATGACTTGAACCGAGATATTACGTGTTTCATAGCGATCGGTCTTAGAAGAATTATTCGGCCGCCTATTATGATTTAGCGAAAGCTCTCGCCGTTTCCTCGTACGTGGACGCAGCTCGACACGCGTGAAGGAAGCATTCAACGAGACGCGTGAGAGCGTCGTTTAGTGCCAGCGCTAATATACATACATGTATACATACACGGATGCACATATATACGTATACATATATCCTCGGTGTCCCTTGGAGTAATCGCGATACAATCTGAGAAGATCTGCGACGATTCCTCGAGAAGAAAGTGATTTCTTTCTTTCGAGAGAAATCGACGTCGAAAGGCGGCACGAGAGGATGCAGAAATTCCCAGAATTGATTCGATGAACCAAGCCTTCGCGTGCTTAACGAATTACAAATCTAGACTGTCTTTAAGTAAATGTTTGCTTACCCTCGATTCGCCATTACTCTTAATAGCTCGCCAGTTAAATAAATGTATACGCTACGGTGAACCGATGACGCGAGTAACGCAAAGCTGTACGGTTTTCGAAATCGAGTACGCCCATACACGCATTTCTTTCGGATTTCCTCAAAGTCGATTCTTTCCGGAACAAGCGCTACTCTCTGTTACAAGCGCACGTCCGTGCGTGTGCGTGCGTGTATGCATTCGCATCGCGAACAGCATTCGCGACGTGGAATCACGTTCGAGCGGGTACCGTCGAAATGTCGAGACATTTAACAGGCACATGCCAAGCACACACACACCACGCGTTTCCAGTCATTCTTCGTGACGGCGACGCGATACTATAAAAGTTGCGTAAAACTGAACGGCAAAACAAGTTAGAACACGAAGAGGGAACGCGATCTTGTCTTCTCGTCTTTCTTACGGACGTTCCACTTGTTGCGTTGAACGATAAATCGAGTATTTATTATACGCAGACTAAAGTAATCAGTATGTATAAAATGAATGAAAGTACAACATTTAGTGTACGCATGTACGCGTTCGTACTCGTGCATGCGAAGATGAGGATGTTGGCGTACGTAGACTCGGACGTGTACGGGGATGGATATGGACATGGACATGGATATGGACATGGACATGGACATGGATATGGATATGGATATGGATATGGATATGGATATGGATATGGATATGGATGCGGGCACCGTGGCCGTACACAGCTGTGTACGTAGGTGTATGGGTCTGGGCTAGGTCTGAACACGAGCGTGGGGGATGGACATGCGTATGGATCCGAAAGTTTGGGTATAAAGGCGTACGCGCGCTCGCGGACGCACATATGAGCAGATATGAGGTACACGCGCGTGCAGATATATTCAACGATGAGCGAATAGCGCGATGTAACAAGTGTCCTACGTAACAGAAACCTAGGACAACAACGATTCAGTGGTCGTCCATTTCGTGAACGCGTTGACGTTTCGACTGAGGTTGCTGATGCTCGAGCGGTTCGGGACTTTCCACGATAGCGAGCGGTGCCGGTGAACCTGGAGAACTATCCGATTCCTCGTGCGAGCGTTTCGCGACTCCGACGCCTGCGTCGGGACCGATAAAGCTTCCACTGAATACAAATTAACCATCAGCTTCGATTAACAATTCTCGATCGAGCAGCGACGCGTCACCGACGACACCAAATACCAACCAACTTACTAAACAATTCTCTTACCCACCTATAGTTATATGTGGTTTGTACGATAACAGGAGCTGGACTGTATTGCCCAGCCGGGGAGAGCGAGTGTTCCTCCGTGGTGTTTCCGGACACGATGTATTTGTCTGAAATTTTTCGAAACAGACAGGGGAGCGTTTAAACCTTTCTAACAACGATACCAACGATAATAACCTAACAACGAGAATACCTTCTCTGGTCGCATCACCAGTCACACCGTTCGTCACGACGGTGATTTGCTGTATCAATCGACCTTTGTGAGACGACTGGTTCGAAGAGGTGTACGGATGACCTGGCGATCCCGGTGCGGACTGACTACTCAACTGGCCGGCTGGAGAGGGTACGGAACTATCCGGATAAGATTCCGGCCCAGGCGAGGCTTCTCTGCTCAGGCATTCCGGGGTTATTAATCCACTGATTCCTACGTGAGACGGTGAAGCAGGAGCGCTTCTGGATAGTTCCAACGATGCCGGTGCCATGAAAACAATCACGTGCAGTACTTGGCATCGCGGAAACACGGCTCGAGTACGGTGAATTCGTTATTTGAAAATGTTTGCTCGCCTACCTGGATGAGAGACCGAATGGGGCCCGAAAACAAGGAACACCGCGTTGCCTTCTTCGCCTGAAAGCTTGCTCGATCAGCTTACCTTCGGACTGAGGATCTATTCTCCAGAAAGAGCCTTTTCCCGGTTCTTCTTGGCTTCTCGGCACTTTGATGAAATAACGGTTCAATGAAAGATTATGCCTTATAGAATTTTGCCAACCTTTATCGGCGGTTCTGTAGTACGGATAATTCTTAGTGATATACGAATAGATGCCGGACAAGGTAAGCTGTTTGTCAGTCGCGGACGCTATCGCTTGGACAATTAGCTGCGCGTACGAATATGGTGGTTTCGAGTCATCTTTCGGGGGACTGCAATGGGCTGTAGTACCATTTGGCCCGGTACTGCTTCCACTTCTGTAACGAGACTCTATGCTCGGCTCAGGACTTATTTGCCTGCTGGAACATTGTCCCCCGTCGTGCCTTTCCAACCCAGAATTCTGTGGATCGTTTGCAACAGCAGCTGCATAAACGGCTACCATCTGAAGATCCGCAGATATATTTCTTCTTCCCTGACCCGCACGTGGACTGGCGGGACAAGAATTTGCAGCACTGATAGTACCGGTCGGAGAAGGAAACGGGCTACTGTATCCTGCATCCGGAATATTGATACGCAGAGGTGGTAACGGTGCCCTCTGTTTCGGGGGAGAAGGTACACGTACGCTGCTTTGCTCCTGTTCGTCCACCAACGACTGAAATACCAGTCTTATATTTGTACTTGGGAATCTGAATGTGCACCTGTAACAACGGTCAATGTTTAAAAGACGATACCTATCCTGGATCCTGAACAGAGATCGCAAACAAAATCAAAGATGGCTAATTTTATGGAAAGCTAGAAAATATTTCAAGACACAAACGACAGAGATCAACTGTAGAAATTTCGATTTTCTCACGGAAAATCTAATCAAACTGATCGGCACTGATTTCCATTTCTCGATTATGGAACATCCATATTGGGAAATAAATATACTCGAAACATACGCGTATTCGGATACTCGTGTCGAAAACATTCAACTGCCTAAACGGAACGGCAATGTACGTGCCAAGAGGCATGCTAGAAACGTGCAAGACAGGTTAAGTTAGCTCTAGGAAAACTCGAAATATATCTTACGTCTTTGGTAATTGGAAGGCAGGCGCGCCTTTTCGCTGGAAAACTCCATCGACGAAAACACCATTTTTACCATTACAGATCATAAAGAAAAAGGGATGATCGTAGAAGATTTCAAGGTGTCGTCGCGAGATAAAGCTGGAGTGGCCCATGTTGACGTCGACCTCACCCTTGCTGCTGTTACGCCCGATAGTGATACGTCGTTGTCTAACCATATACTCGAATTCGCGACCCTCGAGCCGTGCAATCGGTGCACCTTTCGCCTCCGGGTTCCACTGCATCTTCGTCGGACTAGCCGGTGCCGACTTCAGTGCCAGAAGGGCCCACGCGTCGCTCTCCTGAGTACGAGAGTACGTAGACATAGCACCAAGTGAGCGAACCCTCCTTTGGAATAGAATGAGAGAGAGAGAAAAAGGAGAGGTAGACAGACAGATGTAGATAGACAGACAGATAGATAGATATACAGATGAATAGATGGATGGATAGATAGATGGATAGATGGATGGTTAGATAAATAGATGGATGGATGGACAGATAAATAAATAGATGGATAGATGGATGGATGAATAGATGGATGGATAGATGGATGGATGGATGGATGGATGGATGGATGGA